AGCACCAGCCCTGCCACCTGTGTCCTGCAGGGGGACGCAAGGAAGGAAGCTGAGAAACAGGCAACAGAAAAGTAGAGAGAAGATGAACAGCCGGAAATGAGGTGGCCGACACCCGGCGTCAGGGAGGTTTCCTGGAGGTGGCCGATTCAGCCTCGGGTCAACCACATGGGGCTCAGGCCTCTGGGTGGGGACCCTCCGGGTGCTGGCTCCCCCCCCGTCTGCCAATGATCCCCAACCTCAGGCTCCGGCCTCAGACCTGCTTCTGCCCGTGGCTTCTCTGCCCTATGTGACCTGCCACGTGGGTTCCGGAGTCCCCTGGTGACCCCAGCTCGGCCACCAGCCCCTCCCCATCACAGCAGACACAGGCGGAACTCAAAGGCATGACCCTGCCTCCCATGGTGCTCGGTGACTTCTAAATGTGGCAAACATGGACAGCCGCGCAGCTGAGAACAGCGAACACCAGGGGACACACTCACAGCTGGGCTGTGGGCGGCATCAGGAAACAGACCTCCGTATGGGGAGGGAACAGCAGAGAACCTGCAGGCTGGGGACCTGTCCCATTCACAGCTCCGGCCTTGGGCAGCAGAGATAGCAAGAGAGGGTGGCGACCCGGGGAAAACACACCACTGGCACATCTGGGACACAAAAACCAGCCACAAGCATGCAGGGCCAGCAAGGTCACCACAAAGCGCCACTGGCGGCATCCGAACGCAGAAGTGGTCGGCTGGGTAACGAGGACAGGGCCAAGTTCTTCTATGTCCCCACACTTCCTGCAGACCCAGGGACCCACGGAGACCCAGGTGAAGGCGTTGTAGGGGCCCTGCCCTTGGGGAGCAGAGGCAGGTTAGATTTACCAGCCTGGACCCTCTATTCCCTGGGGCAGAGGGCGTCCTGGGGGAAAACGGGACGGAGGAACAGGCCAGGGACAGACTCTGGCAGAGACACACGCTGACCCCAGCCTGCTCCCTTCCACCTTCACTTCTGGGACCCGGGAACGTCCACTCCCCGCCCCCCAAGAGCACATGAAGACCAAACCCAGCACGGGGCCCTGCCAGCTTATCCTCCACACGCAGGTTTTCCACAAACACGGACTGTGAGGCCTCGACCCCCTGTTCAGACACACACCCCACTGTCCTCAGGGTCCAAACGATGCCTGGTCCCGACCTTGCCCCGCTCACCTCTGCACAAGGACCCCTCACTTGGCTCTGCTTACACATACTCACACTTACCAGGAAGGGCAGGCGGCCTGTCCAGCACTTCAGACCACTGCGACAGGCCCTCGCATTCATCCACACCCGGGGTTGCACAGCTCAGGGGGTCCTGCTGCCTGGATGATGCACAGACAAAAGGGAGAGAGCCCTGAACCCCACGGGTTGGAGGGAGACCCGGTGGCTGAACTGAAGCTTTCTAAAAGCACTTGCGAGTCTGGGGTCGCGAAAACAGTGCATTGATAAAGGCTACCCCACTCTCGCACCCCAGCAGCACAGACCCCGGGCTCCAGGATACCTCCCCAAGACACCTGAGGACCGCCCAGCAGTTTCCTGCTTAGACAGTTTCTCTCTGTCCACTGCCTGCCCAACCCCCTCCCCAATTCCAGATCATTCCACAGCTAACCAGCTGCTGGTCTGGAGCCCTAGCTTTCTGTTGGGGTAAAATAGATAAGCCTAGACAGTGGCAGACAGTCCTTCGCACAGTGACCTGTCACTCTGAAAAAGGACCACAGTATCCTGCATTCAGAACGATTTAGTTCTGAAGCCTGGGGGGCCTGCCACTGGGGAGAAGCCACGCCTCCACAGAGACCCACCTACAGAGCTCCTGTCCACACAGAGGCCCAGAGCCAAACCTGCAGGTGAGAGCTGGCGCGACCGGAGAGAGCACTGGGTCTCCCCTCCCCCCGCCAGCCCCTTTCCTCGAGTTTACTGACCTAGATGTCCTTTGTAGACACTCATAGCGACCATCTCGAACCTGACCCCTCTGAGTTACCCAAGACAACATCACCACTAGCACAGAGTGAGCCCTCTGCAAGGTACTAATTGTCAAAACCGAGCAAGGCCTCCCCCTCCCAAGATCGTGTGTAAGGGAGTGCTCTGCGCCTGCTGTCCCCAAAGTCACACGGTCCTGCAGGGTGGGCCCCAGGAGACACTCACAGAGTCACCCCAGACACTCCTGTCCCGGAATCTGGCCTGCCTGCTGGGACCTGACTGGACAGGGCCAACTGCAGAACACTCGTCTGCCACGCCTGCCACGTCTCTTCAGAGGAAGCAAGAACCTGAAATTTAAATGCACACAGGACACAGCAGCAGAAGGTGTCAGGCTGGTCTTCAGCACCCACACGTAGGAGCCAGGAGAGACTCCGGGAGGAGACAGAAGCCTCTCTCAGAGGCCAAACATGCAAGGAAATGGTCTACCCGGTCTCCCCCCGGGCTTAAGGGGGGCCCCACCCCCGAATGTCCCCCCCACCCCCAAGCCAGCAGTGAGCATCAGAGCAGTTGACCATCAACAAGACTTGGAGCAACATGACGCCCATGAGTAGAGACTCATGCCCTCCTGAAGAGGAACCACACGGAAATTTCCAACAAATGGAAAAATGCCACACACACCACCCCGGAAACGCAGCCAGCTCCGGCTTTGGAGAGCAAGGGAGGCCAGCAGGGCAGCGTGGCCGGGG